GTTGCTATTCCGCTGTTTATCTCTGGTCTGTGTGCAGGTGGACTCTGTCTCTTCCTCCCCTTTCTCTCATGCATGTATGGGCGTGTGTGAGTGTGTCTGAGTGTGAGAGGCAATCGAATTGTCAAACAACCAAGTTCATAACAGTTGGTATCGGAGAGAAGATTGGACTTGGAGTCCAGAGGGTTGAGCGCAACAGGGGCACCTTCTTCATCTGGCCCTAACTGGCGAGAAGATCCATGGTGGTTCTCCATCTCCAGTGACTATCCAGCAGGGAAGAAGGAATACAAGCGGTGATTACAGGAGTATCAGTTTGCGATTGACCAGGCACCCTGAGCCTGTTTGAGTGCCTGACAGGAAGTGGCGAGAATAGGGTTATTTCGCCATCCACCCTCCTGACCTCAGTTGATGACTGGGTCTAGGGTGGCGAAACTTACCCTAATCCAGTGAGTACTGGGTGGCGGTTTCAATCCCAGCATAGCGCTGAGGGAGGATTGCTCAGAGGATCACCTCCTGCTAAATTAACCCTACTCAGGGCTAAATTTAGCATCAGCGGCTCATACCTGCAGTGGCGAGAAATCTTCAGGAGAGTTTTCTCTCGCCACTGGGCCAGATTCAGTGAATCTGAGGGTGTGGGGTGAATCGCCACATCATACTGGAGCAGATCATCAAGTTTCAGGAGGTTCTGTACGTGGGAAGCTTTGGAGGATTGTCTGCAAGTACTGGCGAGACCAGGGTTGGCAGCCATAGCCAAAGCTTCATCATCCACTGAGGGTTATACTTCAAGTGAGTGCGTTCTATATGAATCCCTGAGTAGCGATTAGTATAGCATCAATAGAAGTAGGATCAATGGTCTGTCTGTCAGTAGTGGAACAATCGTGAAATTGTCAGACTGAAAGACAACCATATCCATCTTCTTCCTCCCTACCCTGACTCATATCTCTTCATCAATTGACCTGTTCTGACTCCAAATTGTTCTGGGACTGCCTGACAGTATTGCGCTGCATCCTGTATGTTCATTCTCTGAATTCTGTGCTGAAAAAGTAGCAATACTGTGGATTTGAGTTTTGCGCTGGGTCTATTTATAGTCTAGGCTACATAGGGTTAGTCATAACTCAAAATCTGACCGTCAGAATTCAAGTCTGTCAGTCTGGGGTGAATTGCAATTCTATTTTTAGCATCTAGTCCCGAAACACTGTATTTGGGTCATAACAGTGTGTTCCTGAAATTCGCCATATCTGGGTGTATTTCTGTTGATGTCAACAGTGGCGAAATTTGAGTTTGGGGCTGTCAGGGTCCAGTTTACTAAATCGCTGCTACGTGTAACCCTGTTTCAGTTAATTCTTGCCTGTTTCCTTCAATACTACTAATTCTTTTTGCTTTTTGATGGGCTTTGGAATGTTAGTGACCCCTGGAATGCTGTGAATGTGCATCTTGCAACTACAGTGAAAGTTCAGTGTCAGGTATAGGAAATCGTTAGTGCATGATTTTACTGGACATTCAGTCAACCTGACTACTGACCCCAGTGGCCCTATTCCAACCCTAACCGCTTGTGCCCACTGACCCACATTGCTCTGTGAATTGACAGTGCAGCGAATTTTGAGAGTCTGTGTGTACAGTAAATCGCTGCACCTCCTGCTGTTTTACCTTGTTTGTGTTGTGTTCTGTGAGGGAAAATGTCTGCCGCCTCTGACGCAGGTGCAGGGAATGTGGAAGTGGTGGTTAAGGCTGAAGAACATCCTTCAACCTCAACTCCTCCTCCCCCTCCCCTGACTCCTGCGCAGCGACGAAAGAGAGAGATTGAGGCCAAGATGCGAGAGCAACAGGCGCTGCTCGCAGAAGCTGAGAGATAGGAGGCAGCAGAATTGGAAGCTGCAACAGATGCATCCAGCAAGGAGCACCTGCTGCAGCAGGCTGAGAAAACTGTTGCTGATGCGAGAGTGGCCCAATGCACAGGGGACCTGGCTGAGCTGATATTATGGCAAGACAAGCTTACAGCCAGCCATTTTACAAACTGGGACGAAAGGATCCAGAGGCTGGAAACCAGAGTGGCTGATCCGGGAACTCAGCAGTCCAAGATCCTGGATTCAATCCAGAATCTGACTGCTCAGTTAACAGCATCCAACCTGATCTCTCCCCTGGTCCCTGTGGTCCCCTCTCCTAAACCCCCAAAGCCTTCTCAGCCTTCCTCTCCACCTCCTTCCTCTCCTCACTCTTCTCGCAAGTCTTCTCCCTCTGTCTCCTCCCAGGCCAAAGCCACACCGCCTCCCGCCTTTGCTGCTGTTGTGGCTGGGGACCACAGAGGTCCCAAGATTCCTGCCCCCAACAAATTCAAGGGGGATGACCCCAAGATTGATGTGGGGGACTGGACAACTGGAACCCAGGCCTATCTGAAGGGGTTCCTGTGTCCAGAGCAGCAAAAGGTGGCCACCGTTGTGGGGCTGCTGGAGAGGCCTGCCCAGAAATGGGCTACCTCTACAGCAAGTGCCCAGAGCCAGACTTTGGAGGACTGGGCATTGGCACTGGGGGCTGACAAACTTTTGCAGGCCCTGGAAAACCGGTTTGCAGATAAAGAAAGAGTCCGCAAGGCTGCTGATAAAATTGTACGCCTGGGCCAGCAGCGTTACAGCGGCAGTCTGCAGGCCTTATTCGCTGAATTTGAGCAGCAACTTCCACCCCTGGACTGGTTATGTCTGAAAATTACTTGTTGACTAACTTTTGCAGGGCTGTGCCTGARAAGTTCTGTGTTGCGTTGTACAGCACCGGTCACAAAGACTGGAGATCCTTTGGACGTGCAGCCCTGGACATGGAAGCCAAGCTTCATGTCCAGGCCCCCTCCAGTTACAGGAGGAGAGGTGCCTTCCCTCGCGGTGGTAGAAAGGGAAAGGCGGCCTTTGCTTATGCGGGTTCTGGATCAGCCTCTGAGATAGGATCCCAGGCCGGTACACCGCCTGCTGCGACTGTTTCAGCTGCTGTTCCAGATGTTGCAGTAGTTGTCCAGCAGCTGCAAGCTGCGCTGGGGGCCTTCCAAAAGGCCGGGTCTGCCTCCAGCACAGCCTCCAACAGCAAGGGGAAGAGCCAGGGACGTCACTCTTCAACCCCTGCCCGGCGCCCAAATCTGCCACGTGACGTCCATTTCCCAGCAGACCCCCTCAATCCCAACACCCTTCCCTGGCATGATTTGAAGATCCAGGAAGGGATGTGGAGGAAGAGGAAGGAAAAGGGAGTCTGCTTGAGGTGTGAAGGACAACACTTTCTCAAGGACTGTCCTTACATGCCCAGCCCGGCTCAGTCAAAAAACTGAAGCTGAACCTGGAGACAACAGTTCCCTCCAGTGCTGCAACTGCATCTTCAGCTGCAGCAGCTTCAGTTGAGACTCATTCCTTCCCATCCCGTATGGGAACTGCACGGGCAGCATCCTTCACATATGAGGATCCTGACCCGGATCAGGAACCGGACAAGTCTGAGTTGCAGGCTCTTGCTGCTTTTTTCTTTCATATGAAGGAACAAAAGCAGAACAAGTCTGAACTCATCCTGCTTCGGCCCCTGATCAACCACACCAGGATCAAGGGGTTATTGGACTGTGGAGCCACCCGAAATTTCATGTCTCCCAATGCAGTCAAAAAACTGCATCTGGGCATGAAAGTGGTGCAACTGCAGCAACCGCTGCAAGTCAGGATAGGTGACTCCACTGTTCTGACCATCAGGGAGAAGGTCAGGGGTATCCCTGTCACCTTCGACAGCGCTGGAGAAGTCAGACATAGTCTGAACTTCTACATCGACAGGTTAGTATAAAACCTCGCAGTCAAACTCGGCAGCAGAAATTAGCAAGTCATTGCAGGCTTACCCTCCCCGGGAGCGAGGACCTTCGAGCTAGGGGTGCAGACGGGGCGAACGACGAAGATCACCCTTCTGCGCCGCCTCATAACGCAGTACAACAGACTTTGCTGTCTTGATCAGGTCTCTTCTGTAGAGCCGTCGGTTCTCAGAAGGGGGCTGGAACGCAAATCTGACAAGATACTGTCGGTCGGGGCCAGTGCCCCACTCATCCTCAATGGCCACCACATCATATCCCTTACCAGGGATTGGTGGGCCCCATTAAGGAGGCCGGTCAGGGAATGCATCAGGTGTCGTGAAAGGCAACAACTTGGATGCATGGAAGACCGGATAGGTTCGTAGATGCAGCGGGACGTCGATGACGTACGAAGGACCGAAGGGATCAGCGCCCACGGTATCTAGGGCCTGCCACGGACCCAGGTAGCGCGGCAGAAGCTTGGGAGAAATATCCTTCTCCCTCGACAACTCAGAACTGGCCACCCAGACATAGTCACCAGTACGGATGGGCGAAGGCCGCCTGTGGCGGTTAGCTTGTTCAATCATGGCCTTTTGGGCCTTGAACAAGTTCGTCCGGGCTCTTTCCACATCCAGACGATAGCGTCTGGCGAACTCAGCCATGCCAGGGGTAAGGTCAGGCTTAGCCTTGTCGATGATATCATCGAGAGGCTGTCGTGGCTCACGTCCCCAATGTAGCCGGTAGGGACTGAACCCTGTCGAGGAGTGGACAGACATGTTATACATGAGTTGTACCCTCGCCAAGTGGAGATCCCAGTCCTGCTGATCTGGAGAGATCACAGGACGTAGCAACTGGAATAGGACTTGGTTAATCACTTCAACCAATCCATTGGCTTCAGGATGACGACCAGAAGTCATGTCCAGGCGTGAGTGTAAATAGTCCTTACAGTAGGACTGCCACTCATCACTGCAGAATCTAGGGTCTCGATCACTAACAATGGAGGTGGGCGGTCCATGGTGCGTGACCCACCTCCCAGAAAAGGCTGCTCACACAGCCGGTACCCTGGCTACCTCTGGGAAGGGGATGAACTCTGCGTATTTGGAAAACCTGTCCACGCAGACCATTACTTGATGCATGCCACGAGGGGTAGTCTTGCCTAAGTCTGTAAAGTCAATGGATACAGACTGGGCAGGACCATCAGGTATGGGCAAAGGTTTGAGCAATCCTAAAGGAGGTTTCCGCTGAACCTTGTTCCTTTGGCAGAGCTCACAGGTGTCCACATAGCGCAGCATATCACTCCGCATCTCCTTCCAGAAGAAGCGCTGCGACAGGGCTGCATACGACTTTAAGAACCCAAAGTGTCCACGCGCATCGTGGCACTCTGACATCAGCAGTGTCCGCAGCTGCTGATCCTCAGGGATGCACAAGCACTCCTCTCCTCTGCTGTAAGTGTACAGCAAATCTGAACTCAGGGCATAGCCTGGTTCAGAATTGGGATCTGCTTGCAGATTCCTGACGATGGGTCCATAAGTCGGATCCTGAGGTAGAGAACGAGTAATGGTCTGACGGACCTCCTCTCCAAAGGAGTGAGTAGAGGAGATCAAGGCAAAGGAGTCAGGCCCACGAGAGAGGGCGTCTGCTACCTTGTTGTAGCAGCCCTTCTTGTGCTTCAGTTGAAAGTCAAACAGATCAATGAACTGAATATATCGTGTCAGCTTATCGTTCAACTCTCCCTGGGACTTCAACCACTGTAGAGTGGAATGATCAGAAAAGATCTTGAAGTGTCTGCCCAGGAGAAAGTGTTTCCAGTGTTTCAGGGCACTGACAAGAGCATAAAGCTCTTTCTCGTAGGTGGAGTCCTGCAGCTTTTGAGTCTTGATCTTCTTACTCATAAACTCTACAGCTCTCAGACCATTCCCATCATCCTGCTGAAGGACTGCCCCAATGCCATACTGGCTAGCATCAGTAGTCAGTACAAAAGGCAAAGTGGGGTCAGGCAACTTCATAACAGGTGCACGAGTCAAGGCCTGTTTGAGTCGTGCAAAGGCCATCTGACAGTGGAGGGACCAAAGAAAGGGAGTGTCTTTCTTTGTAAGGTTAGTCAGGGGTGCAGCCACTGCAGAAAAGTTCCTGACGAACTTTCTGTAGTAGGAGGCCAGACCCAAGAATGACCGGACATCTCTCACTGTGTGGGGCTGTGGCCAATCCCGAATAGCAGCAACTTTGGATGCTTCAGGGGCCAACCCATCTCCAGAGATCACATGACCCAGATAGATAACAGAGGGAACTCCAAAAGAGGACTTCTCCCTGTTGATCTTATACTGGCTGTCACGTAATGACTGAAGGACCAGAGCCAGGTGCTCCGCATGTTCCCTGGTAGTTTTGCCGAATACCAGGATATCATCCAGGTAGACAACCATAAACTTATCCAGGTACGGCCTGAATATGCGGTGCATCTCAGTCTCGAATGTGCCAGGTGCATTGCAAAGTCCAAATGGCATCACCAGGTACTCATAAGTACCATACCTGGTCTTGAAGGCCGTCTTGTGGACGTCTTCCTCTGCCATCTCAATCTGGTGATAGCCAGATTTGAGGTCGACTTTGCTGAAGATGGTGCAGCCCTGGACCATATCTAGAAGGTCATCAATCCTGAGAAGTGACTCTGTACTCTTCCTAGTGATCTTGTTGAGACCCCTGTAGTCTATGCACATTCTGAACTCACCACTCCCCTTTGGAACAAAGAGGACTGGAGCACCGAATTCAGAAGTGCTGGGCCTGATCCAGCCCTTGCTGGTCAGGGTCTCAAGCTGTCGCCTGAGCTCCTCAAGCTCAGCAGGTGACATCCTGTAGATGCGGCCCTTGGGAGGGACCGCTCCAGGCAGCAGCTCAATGTGATGCTTGGTTGGCCGGTTGGGTAATCCAAAGGGCTCCTGCATCAAATCAGCATACTGATCCACAACCTACTGTATCTCAGGAGGACAGGGAGTAGAAGGAGCGTCTGTCTGCTTGACCAGAGCTATAAACAGACGCTCATGGTCGTACTGGCGAGAGAGAGCATAAAACTCTCTCGCTCTCAAGCAGAAGCAGGATGTCTTAGGGTGATGATCAGCTGTAATCATACAAGGCTGATACACCCCCTTGCTGTTTGGCAGCTCAACCTTGGGGATCTGCTAGTCGATCCTTGGGTTGACTACTCTTTGCCAGTCGATCCTTGGGTTATGCTCTTGTCAGTGCCCTGAAACACTCGAAACACTTTCTCCTGGGCAGACACTTCAAGATCTTTTCTGATCATTCCACTCTACAGTGGTTGAAGTCCCAGGGAGAGTTGAACGATAAGCTGACACGATATATTCAGTTCATTGATCTGTTTGACTTTGAACTGAAGCACAAGAAGGGCCGCTACAACAAGGTAGCAGATACCCTCTCTCGTAGGCCTGACTCCTTTGCCTTGATCTCCTCTACTCACTCCTTTGGAGAGGAGGTACGTCAGACCATTGCTCGTTCTCTGCCTCAGGATCCGACTTATGGACCCATCGTCAGGAATCTGCAAGCAGATCCCAATTCTGAACCAGGCTATGCCCTGAGTTCAGATCTGCTGTACACTTACAGCAGAGGAGAGGAGCGCTTGTGCATCCCTGAGGATCAACAGTTGCGGACACTGCTGATGTCAGAGTGTCACGATGCGCGTGGACACTTTGGGTTCTTAAAGTCGTATGCAGCCCTGTCGCAGCGCTTCTTTTGGAAGGAGATGCGGAGTGATATGCTGCGCTATGTGGACACGTGTGAGCTCTGCCAAAGGAACAAGGTTCGGCGGAAACCTCCTTTGGGATTGCTCAAACCTTTGCCCATACCTGATGGTCCTGCCCAGTCTGTATCCATTGACTTTACAGACTTAGGCAAGACTACCCCTCGTGGCATGCGTCAGGTAATGGTCTGCGTGGAGAGGTTTTCCAAATACGCAGAGTTCATCCCCTTGCCAGAGGTAGCCAGGGTACCGGCTGTGAGAGCAGCCTTTTCTGAGAGGTGGGTCACGCACCATGGACCGCCCACCTCCATTGTTAGTGATCGAGACCGCTTAGGGCCTGTCTGTCCTAGGGTAGCCCGAGGAGGGTAAGCCTGCAATGACTTGCTGATTTCTGTTGCCGAGTTTGACTGCGAGGCTGTATACTAACCTGTAGGGTTAGCTTTGTAATTTTGTTGGGATGAGGGCTAACCGAGAGGTCCGCCTGTGTGGAAATTCATGAGGGACAGATCTGTAATTTCTGAAAAAAATACAGACCTGGTACTAGCCGAGTTCCTACAGCTACCCTAACTGCCTATAGCAGGCCCGGGCTAC